GCTAATTTTAAAAAATGTTTTTTTAGAGATGGAGTCTTGCTATGTTGCCCAGGCTAGTCTTGAACTCCTGGCCTCAAGTGATCCCTACCACCTCTGCCTCCCAAAGTGCAGTGATTATAGGCATGGGCCACCTTGCCTGGTCTTCTACCTAATTTTATTGATTTGACTGATTTGAGACAGAGTCTTGGTCTGTTCCCTGGGCTGGAATGCAGTGGTGTAATCAAACCTCACTGCAGCCTCCAATTTCTAACTCAAGTGATCCTCCAACCTAAGCCGCTCGAGTAGCTGAGACTAAGGGTATGTGCCACAATGCCTCGATAATTTTTTGTCTTATTGTAGACATGGAGTCTTGCTTTGTTGCCTAGGCTGGTCTTGAACTCCTGTCTGCATGACTTTATACAGGTCAATGTATTACCGTGACCCATCTTTCTTACCCGTAAAATGGGAATAATAATGGCGCCTCCCTTTCAGGGTTGTATGCATAAAACATTTAAAATGGGCCGGGCGCAGTGGCTCAAGCCTGTAATCCCAGCACTTTGGGAGGCCGAGGTGGGTAGATCACGAGGTCAAGAGATCGAGACCATCCTGGTCAACATGGTGAAACCCTGTCTCTATTAAAAATACAAAAAAGTAGCTGGGTGTGGTGGCACATGCCTGTAATCCGAGCTACTCAGGAGGCTGAGGCAGGAGAATTGCCTGAACCCAGGAGGCGGAGGTTGCTGTGAGCTGAGATCGCGCCATTGCACTCCAGCCTGGGTAACAAGAGTGAAACTCCATCTCAAAAAAAAAAAAACCAAAAAACAAAACAAAACAAAAAAAAAAACATTTAAAATGGTGCCTGGCCACATGGTGCATGCTCAGTATATTAATATCATATAACAGCTATGTTTATTTAACTGCTCTGTGATTCAGTTTCTTCATCTGTAAAATGTGAATAATAATAATAAGTGACCGGGCGTGGTGGCTCACACCTGTAATCCCAGCACTTTGGGAGGCCGAGGCGGGTGGATCACGAGGTCAAGAGATCGAGACCATCCTGGTCAACAAGGTGAAACCCTGTCTCTACTAAAAATACAAAAAATTAGCTGGGCATGGTTGTGCGTGCCTGTAATCCCAGCTACTCAGGAGGCTGAGGCAGGAGAATTGCCTGAACCCAGGAGGCGGAGGTTGCGGTGAGCCGAGATCGCGCCATTGCACTCCAGCCTGGGTAACAAGAGTGAAACTCCATCTCAAAAAAATAAATAAATAAATAAATAAATAAATAAATAAAATAATAATAATAATAATAATAATAGCCGGGTGCGGTGGCTCAAGCCTGAAATCCCAGCACTTTGGGAGGCCGAGGCGGGTGGATCACGAGGTCGAGAGATCGAGACCATCCTGGTCAACATGGTGAAACCCCGTCTCTACTAAAAATACAAAAAATAAGCTGGACATGGTGGCGCATGCCTGTAATCCCAGCTACTCAGGAGGCTGAGGCAGAAGAATTGCTTGAACCCAGGAGGCGGAGGTTGCGGTGAGCCAAGATCGCGCCATTGCACTCCAGTCTGGGTAACAAGAGTGAAACTCCGTCTCAAAAAATAATAATAATAATAATAATAATAATAAGTGGCAGCCAGGCACAATGGCTCACACCTGTAATCCCAGCACTTTAGAAGGCCAAGGTGGGTAGATCACGAGGTCGGGAGCTCGAGACCAGCCTGGCCAGCATGGTAAAACCCCGTCTCTATTAATACAAAAATAGCCGGGCGCGGTGGCTCAAGCCTGTAATCCCAGCACTTTGGGAGGCCGAGGCGGGTGGATCACGAGGTCAAGAGATCGAGACCATCCTGGTCAACATGGTGAAACCCCGTCTCTACTAAAAGTGCAAAAAATTAGCTGGGCATGGTGGCACGTGCCTGTAATCCCAGCTACTCAGGAGGCTGAGGCAGGAGACTCGCCTGAACCTTGGAGGCGGAGGTTGCAATGAGCGAGCTGAGGTCTCACCATTGCACTCCGGCCTGGGCAACAGAGGGAGACTCCATCTCAAAAAAATAATAATAATAATTAAAAATAATAATAAGGGCCGGGCATGGTGGCTCAAGCCTGTAATTCCAGCACTTTGGGAGGCCGAGACGGGTGGATCACGAGGTCAAGAGATCGAGACCATCCTGGTCAACATGGTGAAACCCCGTCTCTACTAAAAATACAAAAAAATTAGCTGGACATGGTGGCGTGTGCCTGTAATCCCAGCTACTCAGGAGGCTGAGGCAGGAGAATTGCCTGAACCCAGGAGGCGGAGGTTGCGGTGAGCCGAGATCCCGCCATTGCACTCCAGCCTGGGTAACAAGAGCGAAACTCCGTCTCAAAAAAAAAAAAAAATAAATAATAATAATAATAATAATAAGTGGCTGGACGCGGTGGCTCATGCCTGTAATTCCATCACTTTGGGAGGCCAAGGTAGATTACCAGAGACCATGAATTCAAGACAAGCCTGGACAACAGAGGGAGACCCCGTCACTACTAAAAATACAAAAAAATTAGCCGGGCCTGGTGGTGGCCGCCTGTAATTCCAGTTACTCGGGAAGCTAAGGCAGGAGAGTCACTTGAAACTGGGAGGCAGAGGTTACAGTGAGCTGAGATCGTGCCACTGTACACCAGCCCGGGCAACAGTACGAGACTCCATCTCAAAAAATAAAAATAAAAAGGTTTAGCACATAGAGTGATGTCTAGTACATAATATTTGATAATGATAATAAATGACTATGTTACTAATTTATATATTTACTATACTTATCATTAGTTTAGAATACATCCCTACTTTATTTTTAAAAAAAAACAAACTGTAAAATAGCCTCAGGCATGTCCTTTGGGAGGTATTCCAGAAGAAGGCATTGCTATCATAGGTGATGACAGCTCCAAGTGTGTTACTGCCCCTGAAGACTTTCCAGTGGGACAAGACATAGAGGTAGAAGACAGTGACACTGATGATCCTGACCCTGTATAGGCCTAGACTACCATGTATGTCAGCTAGGCATGATGGCGCGTGCCTGTAGTCCCAGCTCGGGAGGCTGAGGCAGGAGAATTGCCTGAACCCAGGAGGCGGAGGTTGCGGTGAGCCGAGATCACGCCATTGCACTCCAGCCTGGGTAACAAGAGCGAAACTCCGTCTCAAAAAAAAAAAGTACTCTAGGTGTATTATTTTTCATCTTTTATAGTGTATTTGTACTGTACCTTTTCTGTTTAGATTTGTCTAAACACACAAATATTGGTGGGGCCCAGTGGCTCATGCCTGTAATCCCTGTACTTTGGGAGGCTGATGGATAACCTGAGGTCTGGAGTTCGAGACCAGCCTGACCAATATGGTGAAACCCCATCTCTAATAAAAATACAAAAATTAGCCGGGTATGGTGGCATGTGCCTGTAATCCCAGTTACTAGGGAGGGTGAGACAGAGAATTGCTTGAACCCAGGAGGTAGAGGTTGCAGTGAGCTGAGATTGAGCCACTACACTCCAGCCTGGGTGACAGAAAGAGACTCCGTCTCAAAAAAAAAAAAAAAAAAAAAAAAAAAAAAAATTAATTTCCATTTCTGTTTAATTTTGTTTTGTTTTGTTTTGTTTTTGTTTTTTGAGATGGAGTTTCGCTCTTGTTACCCAGGCTGGAGTGCAATGGCGCGATCTCGGCTCACCGCAACCTCCGCCTCCTGGGTTCAGGCAATTCTCCTGCCTCAGCCTCCTGAGTAGCTGGGATTACAGGCACGCACCACCATGCCCAGCTAATTTTTTGTATTTTTAGTAGAGACGGGGTTTCACCATGTTGACCAGGATGGTCTCGATCTCATGACCTCGTTATCCACCCGTCTCGGCCTCCGAAAGTGCTGGGATTACAGGCTTGAGCCACCGTGCCCGGCCTTCTGTTTGATTTTTAAATGTGGCTACTACAAAATGGAAAGTTAGAAATGTGGCTTGCAATTTTTTTCTATTGCATAGCTCAAGCTTAGAGCCTTCCTGTCATTATAAGTGATAAGTTTGGTTTTCATCCTGCAGACAGCACTACTGTGTGGGAAGTTGTGGGGGGTTCGGAGATGAAAGAGACGGCCCCTACCTCCTGAGAAGTGACAACCTAGTGGGGGAAATAGATCTATCTTCCCAGTAGGGGTGAGAAGTGTCATTTTCACCTATTTATTTCAGCTGCCTTGGCGGTATGAAAGGGGCATCCCAACCAGCACAGAAGCAGGACGCCTCCAAGGCTGCCTTGGCAGGCACCTGCAGCCTGAATCGGAAGAAAAAGGCTTTGCCAGCTCCCCCACCATCAAGGATGGGGACCCCCACTGTGCATAGTGTATCCGGTTTCTTTCCATGTGAATCCCAGGGACTCCCCTTAACTGAGGGGGTGGAGGGTGTCATCAGCCTTGCCCCAGACCCAGTCCCTCAGGCCCACAGGGCCCGATCGGGAACTGGCTATTACTGACACTCAACGTCACACTGAGCTGTAAGACAGCAGCCCAGGCCGGGCTTCCCTGGGCCCCCTCGAATTCTCGAGCCTTCCCGCTACCCTCAGGCTTCCTCGGCTTCCCTGCCAAACATGTATCTCCCTTTGGAACCCACCGCGCCCCCAAACTCCCCAAGCCCTTAGTCTGTTCCTTCAGTTCCTCAAACTCCTTCAACGTCATCTCGACTCCCCTCCGTCCCTCTTCTACCACCCCAAAAGCTCTCCTCGGCCCCAGATCCCCGCAGAAGTCCCGTAGTTCCATCTCTGGGACCCCACAAACCCCTTCGGAACCATCAGCTGGCACTTAGGCCTCCGGAGATCCCTTGGCTCTCGAGTTATCACCATCACTCACCTCAGACCCCAGCTCCCCTTAGCCTCGCCCCGAACCCACCTCACACACCCAAAACGACTAGACGCCGCTCGGTCTAGTCTCCCCCAACTCCCACCACCCCAAGACGCCCTGGGCCCCCCAGGCCCCGCTCCCGGAATCCCCTGGGCCCAGCGCCCCACACCCGGCCGCCGGGCCCACCTGCGCGTCCAGCTGGTTCAGCTGCTGCATGTCGCCGCCCACGGCCTCGGGCACTGGGTCCTGCGTGCAGTGCAGGCGACCCATGGCCTGCTCCCGGCCCCGCCAGCCCCGCCGCTGCCGCCGCCGCCGCCGCCGCCCTGCTCAGCTTCCTCCGCAGCCGCCGGAGGAGGAAGTGCATCCGCAACCGCACTTTCGCCACGGCCGCCGCCGCCGCCGCCGCCGCGCTCCTCCCCCTGCCGCCCTGGGCCGCGCGGGGCGGGGTCACAGGCACACTCGCGCGGCGGCGGACACGCGAGACCGCCGGGCTCCGAGGAGAACCGAGGGGTTTCCTGCCAGTTCTCCCGCTGAGGGACCCCTGGGCACGGCGCTTGGCCCCTCTGACCAAGTATTATTATTCTGACCAAGTATTAATATTTCACAGATTCGCCATCTCTGAAAATGATGGCTGGGGTGGCTCCTTAAATGAATTAAGCCTCCAGGAAAGTTTAACGCAGAGCCAGGCACACAGGAGGTCCTCAATCAACGGCTAGCTGCTGTCATCACCGTTATTATGCACTCGGCAGATATTTATGGCACGCCTACTCGATGCCAGGCATTGGGGACAGGGATGGGAACCTAGCAGGCCAGAGTGTCGCTCGGAGAGCTGGCATGGGAGCAGAGCAGTAGTTCTCAACCTCGGATGGGCATCAGCAGCACCTCGTGTTGCCGGGCCCCGCCCCCGGAGGATCTGACACCAACGGGCAGGGTGGAGCCTGAGAATTTGCACTTCCAAAATGCACCCAGGGACCACACTTTGAGACCCTCTGCAGTGGAAGAAACGGACTCACCAAAATTTACTCAAAATAGTGCGAGGGCTTTGACTGTGCGGGGCAGGGAAGGTGGTGGTCAGGTGGGTGAGGGAAGGTTATTGAGACCGTGATGTCACTGCAGCCCCTCAAACACTTTAATCCCCCATGCCCTCTCTTTCCAGGGACTCCTCAGTTCTCAGGTGAGTATTACCCTGATCCCATTGGAAACATGAGAAAATAGAGACATGCTATCCAGAATTTAGGAACTGAACGCCAAGCCTAAGGGCTTCACCTAGCCCCTAAGTCCAGCCTTGAGGGTAAGCGGGGAATGCCGAGAAACCTGGGGCAGGGAAATATGGGAGGTTTGGCGCACCTTCCTCACCAGCCCTCCTCCTCTCCCCTACCCTTTCCTGAAAATCCCTTCTGGAAAGGTATAAACAAAATGTCTGCTATCCAAAGGCCAAGCCCATCCCCTTCAGTCATTATTTCATTCATGCATTCATTCAACAAATATTGAGTGGCACACGCCTGTAATCCCAGCTACTCGGAGGCGAGGCTGAGGCAAGAGGATTGCTTGAGAGTTCAGGAGGTCGAGGCTGCAGTGAGCCCAGATGGTGCCACTGCTCTCCAGCCTGGGCGAAAGAGCAAGACCACATCTCCAAAAAAAGGAGGTCAGTTGTGAGGTAGATATGATAGGCAGTGGGGATCCCACAGTGACACAACCAGATGAACCAGATGCAGTGCCTGGCCTCTGAGAAGTCAGAACTTACCCAGGGGAGCAGACGCTTGTGTGTGTAAAAGTATTAAGGAATTCCAAGAAGTAGGAGGTGCCTGGAGAATAAACCTTTGGGTTACAAACAGACAGGGACTGAACCCAGAGGCCCTACTCACCGTGCAAGAATTTTGTTGTTGTTTTTTGTGACAGATTCTGGCTCTGTCACCCAGTCTAGAGTGCGGTGTCACAATCTCTGCTCACTGTAACCTCTGCTTCCTGGGTTCTAGTGATTCTCCTGCCTTAGCCTCCTGAATAGCTGGGAATACAGGTGGCCACCACCATGCCCAACTAATTTTTGTATTTTTACTAGAGATGAGTGTTCACCACGCTGGCCAAGCTGGTCTCAAAACTCCTGACCTCAAATGATCCACTTGCCTCAGCCTCTCAAAGTGCTGAATTTACAGATATGAGCCACTGTGCCTGGCCCAGAATATTTTTAATTTTTATTTATTTATTTATTTATTTATTTAGAGATGAAGTCTTGCTCTGTCACCCAGGCTGGAGTGCAATGGTGCGATCTCAGCTCACGGCAAACACCACCCTCTGCTATTTTTAAATATGTTTAACTTTGTTAAAAAAGAAGATCCGGGCTGGGTGCTGTGGCTCACAGCTGTAATCCTAGCACTTTGGGAGGCAAAGGCGGGTAGATTACCTGAGGTCAGGAATTCAAGACCAGCCTGGCCAACATGGTGAAACCCTGTCTCTACTACAAACACAAAAATTAGCAGGGCATGGTGTTGCATGCCTGTAATCCCAGCTACTTGGGAGGCTGAGGCAGGAAAATTGCTTGAACTCAGTACGCAAAGGTTTCAGTAAGCCAAAATCGAGCCACTGCTCTCCAGCCTGAGTGATAGAGCAAGACTCAGTCTCAGAAGTAAATAAATAAATAGTTTGAAAAAAAAAAAAAAGAGCTGGGCGTGGTGGCTCAAGCCTGTAATCCCAGCACTTTGGGAGGCTGAGGCGGGTGGATCACGAGGTCAAGAGATCGAGACCATCCTGGTCAACATGGTGAAACCCCGTCTCTACTAAAAATACAAAAAATTAGCTGGGCATGGTGGCGTGTGCCTGGAATCCCAGCTACTCAGGAGGCTGAGGCAGGAGAATTGCCTGAACCCAGGAGGCGGAGGTTGCGGTGAGCCGAGGTCGCGCCATTGCACTCCAGCCTGGGTAACAAGAGAGAAACTCCGTCTCAAAAAAAAAAAAAAAAAAAAGAAAAGAAAAGAAAAAAAAGAGAAAAAAAAAAGATCCTTGTCAGAGCATTACATTTCTTCGTATCTTAAGTGTTAACTCTGTTTAGGTATAACTTAGGTACAGTAAAATAAAATGAACTTGTTTTAAGTTTTGTTTTGTTTTTAACATTCTGGAGAAAACCACTGGATTTCTTTCCCTTCTGCTCCCACGGCGACTGATGTTGAGTCACTCCGTAAATACTGTATTTGTGGAATGGAATTAGCCCATGTGACAGAAAATACAGAAAAGGCAAGAAATTAACTTGAAACTGCCAGCCAGGCCGGACACGGTGGCTCACACCTGTAATCCAAGCAATTTGGAGGCCAAGGCGGGTGGATCACCTGAGGTCGGGAGTTCAAGACCAGCCTGACCAACATGGTGAGACCCTATCTTTAAAAAAAAAAAGAAGAAGAAGAAGAAAAGAAAAGAAAAGAAAAAAGAAACTGCCAGCCAATACTATAGGAACAGGGTGACGATATTCTTTTCCAGTCTTTCTCCACATCCACAGGTCACTGGGATTCTGTGATTTGTTTTCCGTTTCACGTACACAGGACTCTCCCATTTCACCAAGTTATTTAATAATCCCTTATACTCCAAGTGTGGTCCTTGGATCAGCAGTGCTAGTGTCACTTGGAAGCTTGTTAGAAATGCCAGTCTCATTCCAGCACTTTGGGAGGCTGAGGCAGGCAGATCACCTGAGGTCGGGAGATCAAGACCAGCCTGGCCAACATGGAGAAATCCTATCTCTATTAAAAATACAAAAATTGCCAGGTGAGGTGGCTCACGCCTGTAATCCTTGCACTTTGGGAGGCCGAGGTGGGTGGATCACCTGAGGTCAGGAGTTCAAGACCAGCCTGGCCATCATGGTGAAACCCCATCTTAAAAAAATAGAAAGAGTTTAGCCGGGCGCGGTGGCTCAAGCCTGTAATCCCAGCACTTTGGGAGGCTGAGGCAGGTGGATCACGAGGTCAAGAGATCGAGACCATCCTGGTCAACATGGTGAAACCCCGTCTCTACTAAAAATACAAAAAATTGGCCGGGCGCGGTGGCTCAAGCCTGTAATCCCAGCACTTTGGGAGGCCGAGGCGGGCGGATCACGAGGTCAAGAGATCGAGACCATCCTGGTCAACATGGCGAAACCCCGTCTCTACTAAAAATACAAAAAATTAGCTGGGCATGGTGGCGCGTGCCTGTAATCCCAGCTACTCAGGAGGCTGAGGCAGGAGAATTGCCTGAACCCAGGAGGCGGAGGTTGCGGTGAGCCGAGATCGCGCCATTGCACTCCAGCCTGGGTAACAAGAGCAAAACTCCGTCTCAGAAAAAAAAAAAAAAAAAAAAAAAAAAAAAAAAAAAAAAAAAAAATACAAAAAATTAGCTGGGCATCGTGGCGCATGCCTGTAATCCCAGCTACTCAGGAGGCTGAGGCAGGAGAATTGCCTGAACCCAGTAGGCGGAGGTTGCGGTGAGCCGAGATCGCGCCATTGCACTCCAGCCTGGGTAACAAGAGCGAAACTCCGTCTCACCAAAAAAACAAAACAAAACAAAACAAAAACAAAAACAAAAAAACAGAAAGAAAGAAAGAAGGCCGGGCATGGTAGCTCACGCCTGTAATCCCAGGACTTTGGGAGGCCGAGGCGGGTGGATCACAAGGTCAAGAGATCGAGACCATCCTGGTCAATATAGTGAAACCCTGTCTCTACTAAAAATACAAAAAATTAGCCAGGCGTGGTGGCGCGTGCCTGTAATCCCAGCTACTCAGGAGGCTGAGGCAGGAGAATTGCCTGAACCCAGGAGGCAGAGGTTGCAGTGAGCCGAGATTGCACCATTGCCCTCCAGCCTGGGTAACAAGAGCGAAACTCTGTCTCAAAAAATAAATAAATAAATAAAGTAAATAAATAGAAAGAAAAGTAAAAATAAAAAAATTAGCTGGACATAATGGTACATGCCTGTAATCCCAGTTACTTGGGAGGGTGAGGCAGGAGAATCGCTTTAGGTGGCAGTCAGCTGACATTGCTCCACTGCCCTTAAAGCTGGGTGACAGAGTGAGACTCCATCTCAAAAAAAAAGAAAAGAAAAGAAAAGAAATGCTGAATCTCAGGTCTTTTTTTTTTTTTTTTTTTTTTTTGAGGAGGAGGAGTTTCGCTCTTGTTACCCAGGCTGGAGTGCAATGGTGCGATCTCGGCTCACCGCAACCTCCACCTCCTGGGTTCAGGCAATTCTCCTGCCTCAGCCTCCTGAGTAGCTGGGATTACAGGCACCCACCACGCCCAGCTAATTTTTTGTATTTTTAGTAGAGACGGGGTTTCACCATGTTGACCAGGATGGTCTCGATCTCTCGACCTTGTGATCCACCCGCCTCGGCCTCCCAAAGTGCTGGGATTACAGGCTTGAGCCACCGCGCCCAGCTGAATCTCAGGTCTACTAGACCTGCTGATTAAGGATCAGAATTTTAACAAGATCCCCAGGTG